ATGAACAGCTTCATACAATCCCATACGTTCTATTTTGACACATAGTTACCGCCTAGCGTTTTCGCGTCCGTGCGAACGCTCGCTAAATGTTCATATAATGCAATGCTTTGATGTATGGATGAATCCAGTCTATTTAATAAAGTAAACACGTAAACCACAAAGTATTTTGAGCTAAATAATTTTAATAGTCAATTGACATTGAAATTGCATACAATATCAAGTAGTTACGCAAATCAACATATCGTGTATTGGATGAGGTGATACACACTCGCGTCGTATGCGCCTTGTCCTTTGTTCCACTTTATTGCTTTAATCCTTTTCGATATAACGGAATAGAGATTACGACGCTACTACATACTGAAATATGTTTATCTAACATACTCGCATTTGATAACATTTATTTCAGTTTTTCCGTTAACAAATATTTTAAAAATAAAATTTGCATTACAGATAAAAGAAGCAAGGTACGAAGATGCAATAAAAACGTTAACCGACGCCATGAACTACAACACTAATCGAGCTGGATTGTCGCTTCTCGGCTATTGCTACTATAGAATACAATCATTCGTAGAAGCTGCTAATTGTTACGAACAATTATCAGCTATGCATCCCGACGTACCAGAATACAAGTTTTACTTCGCTCAGGCACTATATGAAGCATCTATGTATGACGAAGCTTATAAAGTAACGATGCAAATCACCGCTCCAGAACTAGAAAAGAACGTAGTCAAACTCCAATCAGCTATTAAGTATGGCGAAGAAGATTCTGTAACAGCCAGAAGTCTAGTGGAGTCTTATTCTCAGGACGATCCCGATAAAGATATCAATCTTGGTTGTCTACTCTATAAAGAAAACCAGTACGAAGAAGCATTACGAAAATTCACGAGAAGTCTAAACATATTGGGTTTCAACGCACATTTACACTACAATGTGGCTCTTTGCTATTTTAAATTGAAAGAATACCCACAAGCGCTGAAACATATTACGCTAGTTATAGAGAGGGGCGTACGTGATCATCCCGAATTGGCTGTAGGTATGCAAACGGACACGTCTGAAGTTAAATCCGTTGGTAACACATTAACACTTCACGAAACTGCACTCACTGAGGTATTTAATCTAAAGGCAGCTATAGAATATCAATTGAAGAATACTGAAGCGGCAAGGGAGGCTTTATCTGACATGCCCCCGAGACACGAGCACGAGTTAGACGCAGTAACACTGCACAATTTAGCTCTTACATCGATCGATATCAAGCCTACCGATGGGTTTGAAAAGCTACATTTCCTATTACAACAAGATCCTTTCCCGGCTGAAACATTCGCCAATTTATTACTATTATACTGCAAGTTTGAGTATTACGATTTGGCGGCTGATGTTTTGGCTGAAAATGCTCAATTCACTTACAAGTACCTAACGCCATATCTATACGATTTCTTAGATGCGATCATTACAAGTCAAACTTCACCTGAAGAGGCGTTTCAAAAGTATGAAGATATCGCATCGAAACATGCCGAGCAATTGAGAAAACTTACAAAAGTAGTTCAAGAGAGTCGATCCCAAGGTGAAAATGAACAAGTTAAAAAGGCGGTCGTTGAGTACGAGGAAGCGTTAGAACGATATATACCGGTAGTGATGGCGCAGGCAAAAATCTATTGGGATATGGAGAACTACGGGCAAGTTGAGAAGATCTTTCGTAAATCAGTTGAATTTTGCAACGAATCCGACGTGTGGCGACTTAACGTGGCACATGTATTGTTTATGCAAGAAAATAAGTACAAAGAGGCCGCCAGCTTCTACGAACCTATTGTTAAGAAACAATACGATAATATATTGAACGTAAGCGCGGTTGTGTTGGCTAATCTATGCGTGTCGTACATAATGACGTCACAAAACGAAGAAGCGGAAGACATAATGAGAAAAATAGAAAAGGAAGAAGAGCACCAAATATTCGAAGATCCGCAGAAAAAATTCTATCACTTGTGTATCGTAAACTTAGTGATAGGCACGCTGTATTGCGCTAAGGGTAATTATGAATTTGGTATATCTAGAGTGATAAAATCCCTCGAGCCCTTCAATAAACGTCTTGGCACAGACACGTGGTTCTACACGAAGCGTTGCTTTTTATCATTCCTGGAGAACTTAGCGAAACACTTAATAGTTGTTAAAGATAACACTATCAAAGATTGTATGCAGTTTTTAGAGGGATGTGAGACTTACGGCCGCCGAGTTAGCACCGTCATTGAAAGTCCTTTTCAAGAAGAGGATGCAAATGCTAAAGCAAAACAAACAGTGACATACGAGGCACGACAGCTGCGCTACATGTTCTATAAGCTAAGGAATATCGATGACTCTGTTACTATTAATAAATACGAAGATCTTAAGTAAAACTGAATAACCTTGTGGTATTTGTTTCCTCGTAGGTCCTGGCTTCCTAGCATCCTTGTGCTTCAACACAAACGGTCTCTCTTGTCCAAGTGACACTGACGCTATCGGGCACTTGGGATCTAACTCCGGTTCATTGTCTCTGTGCTCGCCCATATGGTCGTTCCCATTTCTATATCTGTTAACGAAACGGATGTAATAAAGTAACGATAAAAAATATTACCTAGATAAAATAGTTTTCGTAATCTTACTTGTTTACTAGGACGAAGTCGTAGAGTATCCCCTTTAATTTAAAAAGCAAATCCCTTATCGCTAAGACGGGCATGGGCCAAGGTAAAGCCGGCACAGTGATTCCTGAGTAGGTATACGTTATGCCGGGATCGCCGTATGCTACTTGTTGTCTGGGTAAAGGATAAATTTTTCCAAATACTCTAAAAGTAAAAAACATTCGTTTTAAAACTCATTCTTAGCTATACTGCAAACTATAATAAAAAAAAACCCTACTACCGTCATTATGCTAATACTTACTTAATTTTTGATAAATCACCAGTAAAATATTCTAAAGTATCTTCGAGTTCTCTATATAAAATATTTGCTATTGGTCTTGGTATTACTTTAGCATAATCCAGGTCAAGGCCGTCTTCTCTTATAGTTTTCCACGTAACGTTATTTACGTCAATTTCTTTCAATTTATCGCCCATTAGGCGACTGAATAAATTTATTATTTTTATAAACGTAATTAGGAACGTTAACCAAACGATGTTTTATAACTTTTTTACTGTATAGCACTTTCCACCACCTTTTGATATTGATATCTACCCACATAGGAACAATTGGCAAAAGGCCATGGCAACACTGAATCTTATGTCATTTTTATTGGCTTCGTATAAAGTGCCAATTAATTAAAATGTTATATTTACACGAAAACAAAACATTTGTGCCTAATTGTTTTTTCTTAACTTTAAACTGTGATACATAAGTTCAACAAAATGCTAAAATTGCTCATATTCCTACTTCACATTTATATATAACACGCTCTCATCCCGTACGTAGCGGTAGTCAAATTCTGAATCTTAAATGTTGCCAGTTGGTTGCTAGGTAGGTTGCTGCTGATGTAGAACCAAATCAATTTTTGGGGTCTCAATTGACAAAAAATCACAGCGCAAATTAAAAATAATATATTTCAAAAACAAAACGTTTATAAAAAATCAACCATACGATATCGAAGGTCCATAAAATGTTTTAACAGGAATAATAAAATTTTGTGTATTCTGTAAAAACAATTGAAACGCCTGAGATCCAGTCAAGAACCGTTGATTTTGTATTCTATTGCAGTTCAATTTCGCCTTACATCTACTAGCACCACTGCTGTAGCCGTCGTCCTTAATTATAGTCCGTGAACTGAAAAAAAAAACGAAAAACAGATGAAAATCGCACTGCGTACCAAATTAAAAAGTTTATTGAAATCTAAATACATAGTTACCTAAAATTTTCAAAGAAACAATCTTTGTCGTGATAAACGGAATATTCTCTGATTCTTCTGATGGTGTTTCCGTTACTTTCAAAGTCATATTCATAAAGTTTTTCAATAAAACCATCTCTATCTTTAACAGTCCAAATATGTTCTCCAGGCAGGCCTACGAGTTTCGGCTCACTAGTCGATATAGTTAAGTTTTTCTTTAACTCTAATGATTTACAATTATCATCAATCTTAGTAGTCCTGTCAGATCGACCAAATCGCTCATTTTCGTTCAAACTAGAAGATTGTAGAAACTTATTAATTTCTGCTCTTATATCTGAACTTAATATTTTGTCTTTAGTTTGCACAACAAATCGACTACAAAAAGCTATCAGTTTCTCATTCTTCGATAGCCAAATTTCGTGTACCAAGTTTAACAGATTCCTTTCGGCGACTTCCTTCATTTTCGTCAAATGTTTTACTTGAGAGTGTAAATAAATATTTTCCTGGTGTGTTAGGGTGTATAATTGTTGGAAGTTCAAATACTGCGACTGGCAATCTTTTCTTTTTCTATCATTGTCCTTTGTTTGCAATATCAGTTGATTTTTCGTCCCAGAATCCAATCTATATCCAACTACAATGTTTCTATTTTCGCAAATAGCAGCTGCCAGGAGTAATGATAAGTTTTTTTTCTCTTCTCTAAGATCTTTTAACTTTTTAAGTAAAACTTCTTTTGTTGCGTTATCGTCGCTTAAAGGTTTCTGGAAATATCTATAACCTTGCCAATTTTGAATTGCTCTTTCTAAATCACTGCGCATTTCGAGTACATGATTCGATATAGTGCAATAAGTTTCGTTTGCAGTTCTTTTTAAATAATCTGTATTGATTAAAGTACTCAAAAACGACGTTTTAAAATAATCTTTTCTTAATGATGCAAGTAAAATGAGTTTCTTCCTTTTATTAACAGCAGATATGATAAAACCAACGACACAAAGTATAGCATAATAATGGTAAAGTCCAAACCAGCTTTTCTTATGTTTTTGGATGTTTATATTTAAATCCATTTTAGGTTCTTTACTAGGCGCACTTAAATTCTTGCACGATTTTGCGAAATCTTTAACATTGGTACCTGTTAAATTTAATTAATCAATGAAGAAAAATCATGTAAAAATTAATATCATTTAGAAAAGAATAGAATTAAAATTGTTTTAAAATAAAATTTACGAGACTCGCGCGCCAAATTTAAGGCTGAAATCTCTGGCTATATCTATGATTTCGGGCGAGACTGAGCATTCTATAAACAGTAGTTAATGAAGTAACTAAATGTAACGAAAATAGAAAGTAATTTTCAGATTATTTGCCGATTTTACAGTAGTAAAATGTTACCATACTAACCTAGGTAGTTGTTTTCTTTCAAAGAAATAAAGTAAATATCAATAGTACAGGCAAAAAGCCACATAGTAAACGTAAGACCAAGGAGCCATTTAAATGCAATATACATTATCTTTTTAAAAGTCGATTTTATTTCTATATTCGAGCCAGATTATTTTTATGGACAGTTAATTTGTCTTCAAATTCATATTTTATTTGTAACATATTGCTGTCAGCTGTCATTTATTATTTTTAAATATTACACTGCCAGTTTTAATGTTAAATGTATACTGACCCTTCTTAATCGATAGGCTATATGACATGATATTTTGTGCCCATGGATGTACTACTAGAACAGGATTAAGTTGTTGTCGAAAAATTGACGCCGAGCGAGACCTCATTAACTGTTTGTTCTATCCCTCTCTGGCGATGGATGATGACACGTCACAAATTCTTACCATTTCAACTAAAATTCTTCAATATCACGAAATCAAAAAACACTCCGACATTAACGTCCGTGTCGAGATGTCATATGGGGTTGTCAGTTCAGGCGTCCGAATTTTAAACAAATGAAAGAAAACCTGAACGCCAATCGCAAAAATTGTGTTAATAAGGTTTTACCTGTAGCAACAAATAATATTGCTTTAACATGTCGGTAATAAATTAATATTAATATTTAGAAACATTTTAAAAGTAAATATTTTCACTGCATTCCATTACAATAATTGCCTATTTTTCTACAAACAACGAAAGAATTGATATCTGGCAACGCTGGGTCACTGTTAGAACAGGAAATATAGGACACTTCTAGCCCTCTCACTCTGTTTTGATTTCATTTTGCGTGCAACAAGACACTTACGCCCTTAGCATAAGGTTTTATTTTCTTTACTTTAACTGCAAGATGTACAGATAGATCCAATTTGTGACTTAATGATTTTCGCCATCTTGGCGCTGACGGTCGCGGTTGGTTACGGTGGTGAGAATGGGAACTAATAATAAAGATAGAATTAACTGTCATTATAACAGCAACCGGCGAATTTCTACAAAATAATTATCAGCTTGCACCAAGATTATTATTATCCTTCAGGATATTAGATTATTTAATGCTTTCCAATGTCTTATATACCATTTTTATTACATTTAGTTATTACTCCTCATATGCCTCATAGTCCACCTGAGAGGAAGTTCCTATTTGTTATGTGGCCAGTGTTTTTACCATCAACCATCACCACATGTTTATTATATTATAAAAACACGAGCTGTTGCCCGCGACTTCGTCCGCTTGGTATTAGAAAACATAACACAAAAGTTACGTATCCCTTGGGAACCGGACATTTCTCGGGGATGAAGCTTATCCCATGTGTACTCCAGACTTCGTTTTACATTTGTGCCAAATTTCAATAAGATATGTTGAACCATTGCAGAATGATCGAGTTAACATTAAAAAACTAAATTAATGAATCCCACGGGAACCGTAACTATTCCCGGGATAAAAAGTAGCCTATGTGTTCTTCCAGACTATGCTCTAAACCTGTGCCAAATTTCATAGAGATCTATTCAGCCGTTTAGGCTACAAACGCTAACATCCATCCATCCATCTAACCATCCATCCATCCATCTAAACTTTCGCATTTATAATATTAGTAAGATTTACACAGATTTTAAGAAGGAAATGAAAAACTAGGAATTGAAACTTCAAGTAACATTTCTAATCTTTTATTTTCAGTAGTCTTCTAAGCCTAACTTGAATAGCTAATTTAAGGAGGATGACATTCTTCTTGTACCATTGCAAGTTGTATGTTATATGAGCCTTCCAATTTTTGTCTAGAAATGATTTATAGAAAACACTCATTTCATCAGCAGTTAAAGTTTGCTTTCCCTCTGGTAAATTCTGCTTCAAATATTCCTCTCGTTCCTGAAAATTATTATAAAAACTGCAATTTTGGAATAATAAAATGATCTGGAAAATATGTAAGTAAAATTTGCTTGAAGTGGTTTTGAAAAAAATGCACATTTATTTGTACAGACTTTTTAAAGCAGAATACAAAATATGAAATGATGCTTGTAACCGATAAGTGACATAATAAAGATTACATAAAATTACCTGAAAGAATCGTGAATTGTGTTGCGTCCAGAACTTTTGATTCCATTCTTGAACTTCCATGCGGAGCTCTCTGTATCTTTTCTCTAATCTAGTTTCATTGCTTGGTTGTTTAAATATTATCTTTCTTAAGTTAGAAATAGGATCAGGAGGTCCTACCATGTCACTGGTTATTTTCTTTGCGTTTGGCGGCTGAACCGCTTTTGTGTCTGGGGTTGTGCTTGTCCACCTCCATATTGTTGACGTATAACGAGCTTTTAATGTAAGCTTGGACGATGAAATCATTTAATTTTATAAGTAACTTGTAGTATTTACTAATACTTCATCCAGCTGAAAATTGACATATGATATACGTCAAATTTGACAAAAACATCAAATTGACATTTATACTTACACCTAAAAAGAGTAGTAAAAAGTAAAAGTAAAAATAAGTTAAAGCGCGAAAATAATAGTTAAGGTTTCCATGATTATAAGTAGGACTTATCTCAATAACTCAAACAGATATCTCTTTTACAAAAACTTTTAAGAAATATTTTATGCTTTCAAATTATACGGCACAAACCCGTGTATAATTATTTCGATGGCAGCACAAACCAAATAATATGTCAATGTCAAATTGTCTAGTGCTGCGTCAAATGTCACGTAAATTTTTCAATCAAGAATTATGTAAAAGTTAGCGGGATCGAATGTGCTTATTGCATTTATAAAGACTGTGTTCATCTGTAAGATATCACAAACAAGTTAAAAGCACCTGTTGTAGCATTCAATAATAATTGACAAAATGAGCGGTAAACAGAAGCAAGGCGCCGGCGACGACGATTTATCTAGCAAATTAGACTTGTGCCTTACAGACGGAATTATAAAAACTGGTAAATAATTCCTTATTTAGTTAAAAAGCTTGTATTTATACAATACTAACTAGCTCTTACGATGTGCCGCCTAGTTTTGTATTTTAAAGATTACCAATGTGTACCTAAACACAAACATGTTTTCTGAAATGAAATCTAAAATTAAAATATCTTTCTATACTCATACCTATGGTTGCTTCTGTATTCTTAACAAAACTTTAAATCATGTAATCTAGTAGGTTTTTGTGGACATGTTTAACTTTTGTTTTGCAGGTGGTGGCATCGCGCTCGGCGCGATTACATCAGTATTATTCCTGGGTCGAAGGAGATGGCCCATCATAGCTGGCATGGGCATGGGTATGGGGCTGGCATATGCTAACTGTGAAAATGAGTTATATCCCAGCAAGACTAGGCATGCATAGTTGGTAAGTTTTGTCCTATATTATCTATGTGTAGTTTGGAAAACTGAACCATTACCGATTAATGGATTTTTGATATGTCCAAAATATTGTCATTGATTTGCTTTTCCAGCGTAAGTTTGCAAACATTATAAATTTACTTATTATATGAGAATTTTTTTATTCGGGTGGATGTTAGGTTTCTGCTAAACGGCTATACAGAATGAAATTTGGCATAGATGCAGAACATAACTTTATAGATTATACTATAAAGTGGTGTCTATTTATAAAATGAATCTTTTAGTCTATGATTTCTGTCTGTATTTTTATTTTTCTTTCCAGGTAAAGGCTTCAAGTGAATCATGAAAGCAAGATTACAGAATGTTAAGAACATCTTCAGTAGACAACTGGTTTAGTAAAATATTGTTTTGTGTTATTGTACAAATAATTATTTAATTGTCAAGAATGCCTTTTATTTAATTTTACTTCACAGGTAGATAAATTAAAGTCTTAAGGGTCAAAGAACAGTGTTTAATATTATTGTACAAATTGATACTGGAATTAAGGATTTAGATACAGAATTTTACTATTATAAATAGAAACCATTAGATAAGGTACATTTACTTTATTATAGAGAGACAACAACCCATATACAGACACCAAATCTGGTAAATAACAATACAGAACATGGCAACACTCGCCCACAGATAAAACACATTAAAACCGTAATAACAGATTATATAACAAACATTTTGAATATAAGATGCAATAGTCTATGTAAACAATTAAATTGATGTTCATACACCTTCCGGTGGATTTCCATACAATTTGATACATACATAAAATGCATTAGCTTAAAGATACTCGAAATACTTCAAATTGCTCGGATTAAGGTAAACATGCATTTGAAAACTTTATTTTGAGGGTGACATTGATCAAATGACTGAAAATATGTAAAAATTCTAACATCTCTAGATAACAAAATGACTTTTCAATCAAGAATTGGTCAACAATATCACCTGCGAAATTGCAAAACACTTCTATAGGATAATAATTTTAATCATATCTACAATACAGTTGACCTCAAAACCTTATTTTTATGGATAATGACTTAATGGCAGTAACAAGTATTATTGTATGGATAAGTCCATTTTCTTGGGAGTTTTTTAAGTGCAATTAAATATGCCTAGAACATGGCAATACTGAACTACCTACTTGTACAGTAAAGGACTTATCACAAAGCTGAAAACACCCATTTATAACAGTTTACTTATAAATGTCACATAAATACTTGAAATTTCAAAGATACCGAGATTGTTAATCGCATTGGGCCTACAATCGATTTTATTTTAATATCAGCCGGTTTAGGTTATATTTGACTGACAATCTTCAAGTTAGAAAACAAAAAGGAGCATATCACGAAAATATATAAAAACATCGTTTGATTTTTTTACTATTCTTCACCTTTAGTAACACAGTAAAGGGTATACATTTTGTAATATGCTTTTAAAATCACATTTTTAAGAGTTTAGACTGGCCATCGTTATCACATAGGCTGATGTAACATTTATAAATAAAAGTTACAATATAAATGGTAAAAACACCATATCATTTAACATTAAAGGCACCACACTGAAATCCATCTATTAAAGACAATTTCAATCCTTTTCTGTACGCATTATATAAAATTCATAATACATTTTGCATTTAACACTACAATTTAAACTACGCAGTTAACTACATTTCTTATAAAAAGTTTGACTAGCAATTTGTTATTTAATACTTTATCTTTGTGATAATTTATCCAACTCTGCATAATTATGCTTCCCTAATTAATAAAAGAAATTCACTTAAACCAGTTTAAAATTTTAAATACTGAACTTTAGTTTTTACTCTAAAATTAATTTTATTACAAGTCAGATATTTAATGCAATGATTTTCTTGTTTTCTTATATCTGGAAAGCTAAATTTAAGCTTCTGTCGCGTTTATGAGCATTAAAATTTTCAGCACTGGCAATACAGCGTCAAATATTTGGCAACACCATTATGTCATATAGTAAAATTAATTTAGCTATGGCCATAGCTGCTCACATTAAAAAAGGCAAGATAAGCGTAGGCAAGTGTAAAAATTAATACATGATTTTTCATATAAGACGATTTCAGCCAAATACGGGAACGAATATTAAATACTTAGCTTCTGAATCTCTTACAATCCCCTAGACGTTAACATTCTATTGGAATTTGATTTGTGTAAAATAACTTTTATTATCTGTCTGACTAAATGGTTTTAAGTTTGTTAATCTATGATTTTTATTCTTTGCATATTGTAATTTTTCACTGTCACCTTTGTACAAGCTATAATAAACTAAACTATAATAAACGTCGTCAAATCTATTCCGTGGTATTTATCTAAATTCCAATAGTTACATATTTATTAGTCATTCCACTATTTGTTCGTTTATTAAATACGGCTTATTTATATAGACACTTTATAATATAAAAGGAAATTATGTCAAGACGAGGTTTCAAAGTGACGAGTACCAAATTGGAAGTGTTTTTATTTTATTATTTAGATTTATCTACAGTATAAAGAATCCAGCTAAATATAGTACTAAGAGATACAAGTGCATTGTTACTCAAATAGTGTTAAAGATATCGAAAAAGTCAGTTATAACAAAAATCGAAACTATTAACACATTCGCTGCCACAAGATTTTTACTATAGTGGCATTGTAAGGGTTATTAACAGAATTGTGCAGTACCTGAACTGTTAACAATACAATTTAAATGATACTTGGACCACACGTTACCATAAATTATTCAATATTAGTAATAAAACAGATCAAAGACCTTAAAAATAGATAAATTGACACAAACAAAACATAAGCAAAGATTTAAATACATGCACAATTGAAATATATTTTAGAATTCATTAATAAAAAATAAAAACGACTAAATCTAAGCATTTAAATCCTTGGTAAACATTATTTAATAGGAAAAGATACATAACAAACCTGCCATAACATACTAGACATATATATAATACCGTATACACTTAACAAACCAATATACAAATACAAAACAACCAGATTATACAAACCATAGATATTTCGTCAGAGAGCACACCATAGACAATAAAAAAAATTGCCATACAATATTAAATTATCTATGCTAGATTAAATACAGGTTGACGAGAAACATACCATAAGGTGATCAGCTATCGAGCTGATGGGTCCATCATCCAGGAGTTGTGAGGTCACTTGGAGGTCATGTCGGGCCAGTAGTTGATGTAGTAGCGGTGAGTGCTGCCTTCGAACAGACGATCCAACCAGTTCGGCAGACCGTCTAGAAGATTCTCTATAAATATGTGGAAAACAATTAGTAAACACACAAACTTATGTAACGGAAGTCATATAAAAGAGGTCCGCAGCTCTATAAAATTGTAAAAAATCAAAATATCAGAGTATCTACAATCTCTAGAGATCCATATAAATAATCAAAACAATATAAATTTTTTTTGGAACGAAGAAGATCGTCTTTTATCGACTGCTATATGGTCAAATTGACCAATTAGTAAATTGTATTGCGTAAGTAGAAATGTATGGTAGGACATACCTTGCAGCAGCACGGGCGGGTCGGGCGCCTCGTCGGAGGAGGAGTCGGGCTCGGTGTGGAAGCCGATGAAGGCGCCCGCCTCCGGGTCGCCCGCCCAGCCGCCCAGCGACCGCGTCATGCGGCTCATGCGCTTCACCACATTTACATACACATTTCAATATCACTCTCAAATACCTATTTTATATCTGTCAAATAGATTTCAATAAAATATTTTTTTTTCTAACATATAACAATAAACATAGAAGAAATAACTTTTTGCACTATTTTTTCAAAATGATTTGAATCACATCGGGCAACATTTACTTAGTCCGATATTCGAATACAATGCAAATAAGAAATTATAATTACACATTTCACGAGCTGTCAATGTTTGAATATGTATTTTGGAATGTATTAATTTTAAAATCGATTATACAAACATGTCTTTAAATAAGTCTGATTCATTATAAACATAATAATTTGAAAGAAAAAATACAATTATTGCCATAAAACACATTGCACGGACTTACTCTACAGAGTAAAGACTAAAAATCCGCAAAAAAATCTCACTTAGCATATCCACTAAGCTTCCAGCGCTACGCACTGAACGTGTCTTGATAGGTTTGTTACAATTGATAAAATTATTCACTCAATCATTCAGTCATTCAATGAGTGACTCAGTTGTATTCACAAAGCTTGCTGCACTGCGCACTCAACGTATCTTGATAGGTTTGTTACAATTGCTGACATCATTCAGTCAATCATTCAGTCATTCAGTGAAAGGCTTTCTGCACCACACACTCAAAGTATCTTAACAGAATCTAAGATACGTTTAGTGTGCATTGCAGTTCGTTTCAATCATTCATTCATTCATTCAGTGATTCAAAGAGAGTCGTCTCACCTTGTGCGGCTTAGCGCACTCGGGGTGCTTAGCGTGGTAGATGCAGAAGTACTTGCGGTGCGGGTTGAGCGCCAGCACGGTGCCGACGCAGTTGCGCGCGTTGACGCGCAGCTCGCCGCCGCCCAGCGACAGCTGCAGCACGCGCCGGAACCACTCCACGTTGCGCTCCACGCACAAATACGCGAATACTAGCGTCTTGTTCCTAACGGGGTAAAACGCCTTTAACAAATCTTACTAATATTATAAATGGATCTTGATTGAATTTGGCACAAATGTAGAACATAACAGAAAGGACATATAGCTACTTAGTTTTGTTTTTAAATACACATTTAAAGCTAGTATAATATAGTATAATTTATTTTTATTATTTATATTTTATTTATTTATTTTCAGTTGGTCTTCCTTGAAAATAGGTAAATAAATAAATAAATAGTAAAAAGAAATTAACCGTACACAGACCGGGCTTGATTCGTATAGTGTGTGGTTTCACTAAATACGAGCAAGAGCCTAATTTAACTCGACACTATCAAAATACAAATGCTTAACTGACAACGAAGGCTTACCGTTACAATGGCAACCTTCCTTGATGTCCGCTTGTAATTGGCCCCTTTCCCGCATGACGGTTTTTTCCAATTTATTAAGCCCCTAAGTTTAATAGCGTAAAAATATATAACATAAAGCGTGTCGTAAGTGTAGGGCTTTATATTGAAGAAAGTTTCTTTTACTATAAACATTAAAACTAAGGTGTAACCCTTGGCCAATTGTGTTAAACTAGATTGTGCTTTATGAGATTTTTGATTTTTTTTTTCGTTCTGTTGTTTTTGTGTTATAAAGTATTTAGTTGCAAATATGATATGGTTTTAGGTGCATTATGTTAATGTTCCCAAAGTTTGTTTCGCTGCATTTGTACTCATTATATTACACGCCCGGAGGGGTACTTATTGTTGTTACTTTATATAGATGTTTGTATAATTTATTGCAATAAATAAATCAATAAATAAAGAATAATTTAAAATTTTGCTGTGATTACTGACATCCTATCCTACGCCTCGAAAGAATGTGTTTACGATTTATTACATAAGTATTAAAGTATAGATACGTAGACAGAAAGAGATAGATGGAGTGCGTGAAAGGTGACATGATCAAGAAGGGAGTGATGACTGAGATGATGGATGATAGAGTTATGTGGAGGACAAAAATCTTTTGGGCCTCTACGGGAGTAGGATACGGAGGAAGATGATGATACTAGAATATTACGTACTTGCGGTATGGCCATACAATCTTGTGGAACTTGGAGAGCAGCTGCACGCGGCTCTGCAGGTCCACCAGCACCACGATGGTGCGGCAGCCGGGCTTCATCAGACTATATAACAGTATTTATTTAAATAACGGAATATTACAAAAAATACTTATCTATTCGCATGCGTAACGTTAAATTGGCGCTCATTTTATTGCATTATTATGGATTTTTACTTGAATTACCCGATGACGAAATCGACTTGGTCTAAATAAAACTAGATGTTTCTATGCGGCTTCATCCGCATGAATTTATGAAAATTTTATTTTATTGTTTACATTTGTCAAATTATCAATAGCAAATGTCAAAATGACATGACAGACCTTGGCAATCTTGTTTTCTTGATGTTGGCAGCAACTTATGGTCTCTTTCCCACATTAGGGTTTTTTATCCCAAATACTTATACCCTAAGTTTATAACGTGAAAAATATAGCCTATGTTTCTTACAGATAAATTACCTTTCTAACGGTAAAAGAATATTTAAAATCGGCCCAGTAGTATTTGAGCCTTTTCATTACAATCAAACAAAGTTTTCCTCTTTATAATATTAGTATAGATTTAATTCCAAGTAGACGGAGTCGCGGACGAAAGCTAGTATAACATAGATATCAAGATTTAAACATCCCACTCACCGCACAAGACCATTATATTTCTCAGCTCTAAGTTCGTGCAGCCTCAGTTCCAGTAAGGGGTCGTTCAAAGTCTTCTTGCTGTCTCCATTCTGTCGTCTTCGTTCTTCCTTCTGTTTCTGTACGGATTCTTCTTCCAACCGTCTGGGAATAAGCAATAGTTAGTAATGAGGGAGAAAATAATGAGAATCCATCACTATAATTTGATTTATATTTGACATTGAAAAAAAAATTGTTTTTAGTTACTGTGTCTACCCCCTAGGGGGTAACAGTAGCCGTTGGATGAAAACAGTGGTTTCGATGACATTTGTCGTATAAAGAACATTTTTTATACGACAAAAAACAAAAAAAAATAAGTAGCGTCGAAAGCAACACGGTGCAGAGGGTACCGGTGCGTTCCACTGGAGATCCCGGGATCCTCAATTCGCACCTGAGGGACACCGACGGGGTTTTTAGTGAGTAGGAATCTTTTAGAAAAGACAGGGTATCTTAAAGAAAGTGCGTAGCTACATGAGGTATGCCATGAGGTAGCCGGCGGCCAGCACGCCGGCGACGGTGGCGAGCACGGAGAGCGCGGAGAGCGCGTGGTGCGTGCGCAGCGCCAGCGCCGCGCGCTCCGCCCACTCGCACAGCCGCGCCAGCGCGCGCCACGCCGCGCCGCGCGCCGCCTCGTCCGCCAGCTCCTGCACACACACACAACAATACACACTGTAGGCATACTGCAAAAATAAAATAATATTTAATCTTTAATTGTCAGTTTAAATTTTTTTTTATATGTTTGTGTTATAATATATGTACTATCTTTCGCCCGCGACTCCGTCTTCATGGAATTAAAAACCAAAATTGAGACTATCCTCTATATCTATGCCAAATTTAATCGAAATCCGTTCAGCCGTTTAGGCTGCAAACTCTAACAAACATCCATCCATCTAAAGTTTCGCATTTATAATATAAGTAAAATTAAATACCCTTGTGTTGTCTGTAAGATACTGCTCATAGCAATAAAGCCGCCCTTGCGCAATTCTTGGCTTATCTTTTAAGTATATGTTTTGTAAGTTTTGTGCAAAAATAATTTTACTAATATAATAAATCCGAAAGTTTGGAAGGATGTTGATTTTTTTATTCCATGCCGACTGAGTCGTGGGTGAAATCTAATGATATACCATAGTTTACCTGCACGTGTGTCTCGTACGCCATCATCTCAGTAGGCTTTAGTAGTCGCTTGATGAGGTTATCTAACGCTCGCTTGGTGTCGTTGAGCCGCTGCTCGTAGCGCGCCGCCTCGTAGCTGTCGCCCGCCGCGCCCCCTGCACCCCCCGCCGCGCCCCCTGCACCCCCAGCCTCGCCCCCCGCCGCACCCCCCGCGCCGCACGCCGCGCACGTCGGCCACGTCTCGTTCAGCCACTCGTACTGTATACGCGTGGGCTCCCGCCGCCATATCACCACGATGCGATGCTCCATCTCTGATACATCTATACCTGTAGTACATTTTAATTATTAGTTTTTTTGTTTAAAATAAAATTGTAACTGACTTTAAAAAATACATATTAAAATATGTATTGTTGAGCATTCTTATGCTATTTTTACACACACGCTCTGTTATATCTGGACAATTGGATCGTTCAAATAAATCTAAAAAACTAACAGTTCAATTCTCAGTTTTGTTAAACACGTTAGATTTATCTGACCGACCCAACTGTTCAGATTAAACTAAGCGTGTGTGGCGGGCTTACTTAATCTAACCTTTTTTCTACATTAAAAAGGAGTTTTAGTCCTTGTTTAGCAACATCAGTATACATACCGGAGCCGTTGGCAAGCGCTTGCACAAAGTCGGGCTGCGCGTGCGCATAGACGTATGCATATCGCAGCCTGTCGGGCGCGGCGCGAGCCAGCGCGCGCAGCTCCGCCAGCGCGGCGCCGCGCGGGCCCAGCACCACGCAGCATAGCCGCCGCCGCGCCGCGCGCCACTCTACCGGGCACGCCGCCTCCAGCACGCTCTGACAACACAACACTACACATCACGTACATGCTATATATCCTATTTCAACTCATTTTTTTACATATTAGTAGATATTGTTAATTTTTACTAATATTTCCTTTAACCGATCCAACTCAGCTGTAGGCTTGTGCTCCTTATCGAAATTTAGCACAGATATAAAAACAAAGTAGAGTAAGGTGAGGTGAGGTGAGGTGACGCAAGGTGAGTGACGCAAGGTGAGGTGTGGCGAGGCGAGGCGAGAGGATGCTGGGCGAGGCGCGGCAAGGCGAGGTGAGGGGTGGTGACGCGAGATGTGGTGAGACGAGACGAGGTACCTGCGAGGAGAGGCGCGGCAGGGTGAGCAGCCTGTTGTCGTCGATTAGCTGGCGCAGCGTTTGCGTGGGTATCTCTGCGGTGCTGACGCTGGCCGCGGGCTCCGCGCGGTCCTCCTTCAGCAGCACCATGCTGTCCGCGTTGCGGTGCGCCTTGAACCGTGACGTCACGTTGACGCTGTCGCGTGACGTCATGTCAACGAAACTACAAACAAAAACATGATGAAAATTTAACCGAAAAAAATATTGCCAAGCATTTAAAAAAATTCTACGTTTTATGACAATTACACAATAGATATCTATATTTTTATACTAATATTACAAAGAGGAAAGATTTGTATTTTTAGATTTTTGTATGTATTGAAATAACTCAAAAAGGCCGATTTCAAAAATTCACATCACTGAGTAACATAGGCTACATTTTTAAATTTCACGTGGACGAAGTCGCGAGCAACAGCTAGTATAGTTAAATTAAAAATATACATACGCGAACGACACCCTCTCTCTATAATGGAATGCGGTGATGAGATACCGCATCCGGATGTTCGGCCGCTCTTCGAAAATAAGCGCCTTAACGCGATTGTCCTCGAAATCGCTGACGAACGCGTCCACATTGTAGTCGTTCAGGTTCACCACCAACTTGTATGGGAACTTCCAACGGATGAACTCTATTAAAAACGTAATTTGCAATATTATACTACTGTATGCAAACTACAAAATAAGTTACTGAAATTGTAATAAAATTACTAACTACAAATTCTGGTGCGTATTTAATACATTTTAACGTAAGCGTATAAAATTGAATGCTATAGTTGTCTAGCATTCAATGTACATTATTGACAAAAGCTATTGACACATTAAACTTACAAAATGCGATCTTGGTCAATCTATACTTCTATATCTATACTAACATTATAAAGAGGAAAGATTCACGTAAAAAATACTGGTGCGATTTTAAAAATTACACCATTAGTAAGGTAATTTAACTGTTAGTAATATAGACTACATTTTGTATTATTTTTTAAAATCACGCAGATGAAGTCGCGAGCAACAACTAGTAAATTATCAAGTAAGCATTTTATTATAGTGTCATACATATTTATAGTAAAACATGAAACAAAGTTGATGTTGAAGATGTCCATAATATGCTGACGCAATTAAAACTAAACCGTCTCCAATTGTATTTTTGGGGTCTAAAATATCTCAAAACATTACTTACCCAATATCTTGGGCATAGATCCCAAACCTTCCTTATATATGTACACTTGTTTATCAATGACAAGTGTGAGACAAGGCACTCCGTGTACTCCCACACGTCTGGCTAGAGCAGCCTCATGTCCCGCGTGGACCGTAGCCAGGGTGATACCCAATGGCTGTAATGCTTCCACCAGCCTCCTCCAAGCTGCAGCGGAGCGGACACAATCAAAACACCAGTCAGTGTAGAAGAGAACTAACGCTGGTGTATGAACACTCTTCTCCATAATATGGTTTTCAAAGTGCCTGAAAAGATTTTTTTGATTATACATCATTTCTATTTATTGCCCAACACATTTAATACAAGAACATATTTAAGTAAATTCTCAATATGACATTTTTTGTGGCAGAATTGCCACTGTTTGCTTTGAAGAGGCACTTACAGATTCACCGGGCTTGAGGTGGTCGAGCGCAGATTGCGCTTAGCCTAAATCTTATCTCAATATGAGGCACTAAATGTGTGAGATCTTTGATTTAAATCTTATTATAATTACTTAGGACTAACTTATGTACTTATAATATAAACTCACCGTGCAGTGACAGACAACTTATGGAACAATGTAATATCTTGGTCTTGTGTTCGGAAGTGTGTGCCAAAGAATTCCTCGAATGGATCATTGCTGCAATCATATCAACGGTGATTCTTAATAAAAAATTTGTGATTCATCAATTGGAATGAGCTTTTATACATAGTGAGAATATTAGATCACATATTTGTTTACAATACAGTACAATTTTATGACACACAATTATATTTACGAAGAGCTGTCGCCTGCAAACTTCGTTAGCGCAAATTTGGACCATCCAAAACGCCATTTTGACAGCACGGAATTAAAAAAAAAGTAGCCTATTATTATTGTTTTTCAATATATATTTTTTTCCTACACTTACCTAAACCTAGCATACTGACTGTAATCATGTCGCTGTTTATAAATGTGTTCATCTTCATTAGTTATACCATAAAGGTCATATGCCTGCCGTCGTTCTGTATCTGTTAGCAATTCATATGCCTGTTTGATCTCAACAAAGCGTGATTCTGCATTTGGGTCTTCATTTTTATCTGGATGCCTGCAAATTACAGTTATTGTTTAACACTTCTTTACAAATTGTTTGTTTTTATAAGAGCTCCGGCAGACTACAGACTGGTTATTTGCCTATAGTTTAATGTCAAAACTAAATCGTACATTTTCATACTGATTAAGCACACAACTAAACTATTGATACAAAAAAAACTGTAGTGTGCAGGGCCCTTAGTTCAAATAATTTGTTCTTAACTAATTAACTGATAAAGCCACTGCAGTAGTTCAAAGTAATTAGTTCTGTAATTAGGCTATACATATATATTGTAACTCGTTATCTCTTGGCTACTTAATTTCTAAGTTATTACAAATTTTGTAAACAAAGTTAATTAAATTTACTCTAATATATCCAAGTGATTCATCAAATACCAGATAGATGTTTGAAATTCTTTTAATATGCAAATATATTTGTAGTGATACACAGTTTAAATAAGTATTAGTACATTTAAAATTATTCTAGTTTATAATAGGGAATACTATTAGAATAAATTTCTAATTTTAATGGGTTTTTAAACTTACCACTCCTTCGCCAGTTGCCTGTAAGCCTTGCGGATTTCAGGGAGCGTAGCTCTTCGGTGGACGCCTAATATCTTGTATGGATTACCGATATCCTGAGCAGCTGCTAGTCCACATATTATTAACAACAGCACCCCGCACACCCAGCGACCGCTCCAACTCTTGTTTGTCCATTGCATATTATTTTATTGTCCCTATGAACCTACCACTGCAGTCTATACACTATTCATGGAATAGTCTTCCGTCGTCTGTTTTACGATCATAGAAAAACATAACGTTAAAGAGCTGGTAAAATCAAGAATTCAGGGAAACCCTTATCAGTCATTCGTCTTAAAATAGATTGAGATGCCTGAAAATGTTTGAAATCGTGAAAAAATTGAGAAAAACTGTAAAATTAACAAATGTCAATTACAACCACAGATAATAATTTAAAGAAAAATTATATGTCTTTCACAGATTCTAATATAAATCCATTTTAAGGGATGTTTTGACGACACCAGCCTAAAGCTGACAACTTTTGGATTGTCAAATGAAGAGTTGACTTTTGTTGTCATTGTCACTGTCATTTATAGTCTGTCTACTGTCAGTCTGTCAGCTGCTGTCATTCAGTTTTTAAGGAATCTTGACAGTGCTCGGGTGAACTTTTTTTACAGCGATTTAATTAAAAATCGCAAGAATTTTACTTCATAAGTAATTTTTATTTTATTAAGTTTAATTACTTGTGGAAATAGGCGCTGTTTACAAAAACTGTAAGTCTTTTGAACTTTGAACTGACGAATTAACAGCAATCTTCAATATGTAACCTGTACATTTCAATTGAAATTTAATATCAATCTATAAAAGTGGTGATTTCAATGTTCTAATCATTATTATCTGACTTTGTACTATTATCTTATTCATATCTAATTTGTTATTAATACTATACTATTAGACAAATTTATAACCTATCATTATTCCCACAGACAGGTCATTTATTTTGTCTAAACCTTAGAAGTATCAATAATTCAATGTTGGATAAAACATTTATGTACAACCTAAGTTTTTAAAACCCTGTTGTTTTCCAATAAGAACATTAAATAAAAGAATTCTATTTAATATTATGATGCAATAATCTGTTTTATGTCATGTCCCATTTAACCTTTAATTTGTGGACTATGTTAACAGTTGAATTTGCAATAAAAAATCTGGTCCAAACCTAAATAACAAAAATACTTAAAAGTTTTAAAAACAACTCAATTTATTGCTTAGTCCAAAGGGACTATATTTTTATTTATTTTTTTATATTATAAAATAGTAAATTCATTAATTTTTAGAGTAAAACAAAACCTTAATCTAATTTTTTTCTGTGTATTGTAACTGGCCTCATAATAGCCAGATATAATCTATAAAAAATATTTTTTAAGCAACTGTTACCTTGATAGTAAACAAGTTCAATTAAGGAAAGTGAGACATCAAGTTTAATTACATACAGTTGTAATGATACCAATATAGCATAGGTTTTAGACAACCATAATGTAAGTAGTGTGCTATTAGTCAGCGAATTAGACAACACTATGAATTGTACCAAGAACTGCATGTGGCAGGAAACATTTAATTGAACATACTCAGATCAAAGTTGAGGGAGGCGAAAGCTCCGGTGGATAGACGGCATAAGCCGAGATGCGAAAACCGTTGGCATAGCAAACTGGAGGACCGTGGCCAGAGATAGGCCGAAATGGAAGAATTTGCTGGACCAAGCCAAGACCCAGAAAGGGCTGTAGAGCTATAAAAGAATAATCTGACAGTAATAAACTGGGCAGCAGCCATGCTTGTTAATAACTACATATTTATTTTGCATTTATATGCATTATGTAGCTGAATATTTACTATTTGCTTAGGCAAATTACAAACTAGCAGCACTCATGATCACTTGGTGACATAATGGGTGGTAATGTCATTAGCTAATCTTATGGAATCTATAAATCTTTTTATTTTAGTACTAATTCTATCAATCTAGCTGAATTAGAAATATGCCAAGTCACTAACAAATAATAACTTGTACTATTATTGTCTCTATAATTATAATTAAATTAGTGTATGCCCTAATGTAATGATAAGCTAAGATGGCTGCCGTTGTACAATTTTGGAGGCAAACAATGATTGTTATTAACTAAATTGTGCGCGAAACAATACCATCAAGCTAACGTATGACGTCATACTATTAAATGGGTGTGTACGTGACGCACTTGTATCAATTTAAGTCTATTTATTTCAATTGAAGACAAGGATGTGATTGTTTGGGGTCTAGTGTTGCTTGTTAACTGATCAGATTTCACCTTTGTAGCTCAGTCATTCTGTTAGCCAGAAGTCATTGCGCTTTATTCGAAACTTCGTCTACGTTCAAACGATATAAAGACCGGTACGTTTCACGTGTTGCAAAAATGGAAAATTGGTTATGATTTTTTGCCTATACTCTTACGATTCAACATTTAAAACTGAATGTTCGTTTGCTTACACCAAGGGTTATCTCAGACATTTGTTATTTTCAAACTTTTTAAAAATATCGAGACGTTAAAGTATGTTTTCGTACGAGTGTTCTGACAGTGGAAATTAGAAATTATTTTATGGTTTAAACGTGAGCGTATAATATTCTTTGAAACACGTAATTTATGGATCATTAATTTTCTATTTCACTTCAATTGTGACTACAAAGTAAGAGCTACAAGGTCGTATATTTAGAATGATGTCAAAATTTTGTATAAATTTTCGATGTCGTTAAAAGAGAATTTGTCCTCGATTATTATATAATTGTTTTTTGTAATATATTGTGTGAATCATTAAATAAATATTACTGTTATCTCCCTGTATGGATATCTAAAAGTAATAAAGACAAGGCTCTAAGTTGAGATTAATTAATTTAAATAAAAAATGGTTCAAAACAAATAAACGAAAAGATGAAGGACATGGAAACTCCTACAAAAAAGTTATAGAACTCATAATATAAGTATGTACAGTCCGCTGCATAAAAGTTTATGTGTTTACGAAAACTAGAGACTTGTATATCCCTTCGAATTCAAATATATGAATGCACTTGTCCATCAATTATGGTGGGAAACATACGAACCGATACATACGTATTTTTGAAACCAAATACTAGAGATGTTTGTAATGTTTTGTAAATGTACATATGCATCTGACTGTACATTAGTACAGAATTAACCAATACACAAATCTAAAACTAGACAACTGCATTTTCTAATAACAATTGTCATTAAATTAATTAGATCGATCATTGAGTTCGCCAGTTAACGTTTATAACTCGAACTACAGTTGAACAGTCATTCTGTTGAAAGCAAATCAGAAATACGGTGTGTTTTCAAACTCTGAAATTGGTAAGAAATTGAATAAAATTTCATGTTTTAAACGACAAAAGTAGCTCGCATCAAACTATCCCTCCCTATACTTTTTGTCTGATCTTTAAAAAATTGTTTTCTTTGTAATTCTTGTTTAAATTTTTTATTTGTGGACCATCATTTTATCCTCCTAGTTCACCCAGTTCAGTTTGTTAGCAAAATAAGATATCTAAAGCATTTTGTCACAAAACTCATCTTTTTAACATTTACTGTCACTATTCTACGATATCGAGTTGTCAAACGAATATTGTTACAGTCAAAGATGGAGGCGTTATCCGATGTAATGCAGCCGTACAAGGAGTTGGTGGGCTCCGTGGCTGCCATCGTCACCATCGGCCAGATGTTCTCTGGTTCCTTCATATGCTATGACGTGTACAAGCAGGGCAGCACTCGCGGGATCACCATAGCGCCCTTCCTCGGTGGTGTTGTTATGTAAGTTACCTTATTTATGTGAACGTTATATAATATAGGGTAAATGCAGATGTTAAGAAAGAAATTATACTAAGGGACTATTATGTAATCTTTACTACTATACTAATATTATAAAGAGGAAAACTTTGTTTTTTTTTGTATATATTTGATTCACGTAAAAACTACTGGGTACATTTTAAAAATCCTTTCACCGTTAGTAAGGTAGTTTATCTGTGAGTAAAATAGGCTATGCTTTTTATTATTTTTTTAATACCACGCGGATGAAGTCGCGAGCCACAGCTAATTAGTAATGTGTTATGACAGATCGGTTTAATTATTATCAGTTACTATTCAGTTATAACATGTATAACAATACCTAGATTTTTATAACAAATTTTATAACCTTATACATGTATTATCGCGAATTCTTAAAATCTTACGAGGTTACGACCTTGCATATATTTTAACGGAATCGGCGGATTTCGTTACCATTAAGCTGATTACGTGAACTCAATTGACGTCACAAGAATCAATCAATAGAATAATGAGCACAATTTGTTAAGTTAGTCTGTAGGAGTCATGAAACAGGAAATATTCTATTTATTGTGTTTACTGTGTGACGAAACAAGAATGGTATAATTTTAAGTTTTAGATTGTTTGACCGGGAAAAGATCTTTGAGCTGACGGCCTACCTTCATTAACGGAGAGGCACTTACAGATAGAGAGAGAGAAAGATTGTTTTGTATATCTTATATTGATTTTATAGATTAGGCGACAATCGTATAAACATCTCACCTCGTGTTAGCTATCTCATATCGTAGACGTTGACAAAAACTTAATCTAACAGATAGGTTCTTTATTAGAAAGAAGAAAGTGTATTCTGAAAATCGATATTTTCTCATCCTATTCATCTACTCTATCTCTCTTTATCTCATCTTATTAGAAAAGGATGGGAAGAGTAGAAAATTGCTAGTAGATTTTCATTCGCTTTTTCGTCAATAGGAGCTTGCTCAACC